TTGTAGCCATTTCCCTTTTTACGTCATTTTCGGCTCATGTCTTCAATGAGAAATCTGGATCTAGAGGACTGATGACCTACTGGAAAGGCACCTTCACCAAAACCAGAGGTTTATCTTAGCAGCTTGAGCTGAAACACATTTTTGTATTCACTTCTCAAAGCTGTTGCCCCATTTTAGCTGTTCTAATACATGTTTAACTCATGGACTAACATTGTGAAGGAGATACATTAACTATAGATTAATTGACTTTACATCATTAGTGAAGATAGGATAGCTTGTGATGTCTGTGCAGCAAATCCTCCTGAGAGAACAGGGAGGACTAACACTGATATTTCGGGTGTTTCCAAACAGAAAATGTGGCAGAAGACTTAATTTGTTTATGCCTAATTTCAGACATTTAATATATTTTAAAAATATTTTATTATCTAATCAATTTATATATCTGCAAATAATTAAAAAAAAAACCTGAAACCCCCATGGAATAGACTTTAAAAAAATTTTTTATTTTATGTAATGTATGGACAGGCACATCACTGTTTCAGAGGAGTGAAAACACATTCAAGATGCTAGATGGATAGATGAAACTGCTGAAGGAGTACTTTACATAGTTCAGATATATTTTTAATATTCCCATTCTAGTACAGAAGTTAGAATATTCTCAGAAAGATTAAAATCAGTAGATCTATCTTATCTCTTTCCTGTTTTTTTTATAAATGCAGCACTGCATACAAAGATTGTTCACTTCTCTAATGTACATCATTAAAATAGGAAGTCACAGTACAGTCATGACTATTGAGAATATTCCTGTCATCCTGCATATCTGCACTGTATCTTACATAGGTTTACTTACTTCCTTATCATATACATCAGACTTGCATGAAATCTTAGGAATAAGTAGGCTTATTTGTGTATTTTATAAGTCTAGATTAATGTTTATGTTGGCTACCATAGTATGCATGGGTTCGGCAATTGCAGTCATGCAATATATACATTTCCAGTGTTGTGCTCTCTTACTTCATAGTCATCCACTGAGCTTCTACCTCTGCAGACACTACACGCTGTACACCAAGGGCACTATGTGGTTTTGCTATCTCAGTTTTAGAAAATCTGACATTGGATGTTAGTTCTTTAAGAGTATTTGCTTCAATATTGTAGGAAGGTGGTGGAGACATCAATCCCAGAATTATGCTGTTCTCCAGGCTTTGGTTATTAAGTTAATGAAAGGTAGTTTTTCAGGTTTATGTTGTAAACCTCTGGCAGTTGTGTAGGATAGGTGTGCTAATGCCATACTTAGCTGCTTGTGTTGATGTTGCTAAAACAAACTTTAGAAGCTGCATTTTGTACATGTCTTTCAAAGCCCATAGCTCTTTATAATTCAAGTGTCTAATCCTGTTCCACTGAAGTTGATAGGAATTTGTGATTAATTTAGCAGGATCAAGATCTAGGTGGCTGGCAGACAGCCTGCTTCTTTTCTTTTCCAATTGTATTTTTCTGTTCATGCAAGTACATTGATGGCTCCATTTCTGCTGACTGTCTCATTCTTTCAGCTCTTGCTCTGTTTTTTTAAGATACTTTATACTCTGAGAGGTTTTTATTTTTCCTTTCCCTGAAAGCTTAGGATATTTGCTTTGTTTAGAAACTACAGTAAACCTTAGAAACTACAGTATTTGTCAGTTCTAGAGCACTACTTTTATGATTAGTTCTCTTTATGTATTACAAGTAGAAATGTTTGTTTACCCCTCTTGGAAAGATGAGATTGTTTTCTGATGCAAGCAAATCAGAGCTGTGCTACCTTTTCATGTAGGTGGGCTACATGTCTTTGACTACAATCACTTAATTTACAGATGACAATCTCCAACATCAGCTCAGTCTATTTGTTTGTGATAAAGTAACAAGTCAGCTGGGCAGATTCCTAACAATTCATATTTCTATTAAGCTATATAACAGTAGGAAGAATAGTAATAAGTCATAATAATAGGATCAAGCCACACACCCCTAGCAGGGCACAATAATGTATGCTGTGCATTATGTACCGCTGCTGGCAATGATCAAATTGACATTGCTCCTCTTCTGCAGCACTGTGATTGTCTGGCAACTTGGTGGCTCCTAGTCCTTACAGAAAGAACCGTGTCCCTGGGTTAGACACGTAGATTCACTCCAAAATGCCTGGACAGGGATGGGCACCCAGGAATGGATTTCTCAAATTAGTTCTTTACTTCAGTGAAGAAAAGGTACAGCCTAAATGTAAGGAAACCCAAAAATCTCTGGTTGAGGTAATCTAGAAGTGTCATTAAGTATCACACTGCTCTCCTGTCCTTCCCTAAGCATCCATCACTGCCGACAGGATCTAGGGCTAGAGGGCCCTTTGCTCTTACGGAGCAGAGGTGTCATTATGATCCTGAGGAAGCATACTGAACTATAAATATGGTGAGGGTTGGTCATGTTATAGGTAGTCTTACAGAAACACTGTTTTCTATTTCTGTGCAACCTGCTGCGTAGGTTAAACTAGTTCCATTTTGTATTTGTTGTATTCAAGCCTACATGGTGATCTAGCTGTGTTCATACATTGACAGGTATACCAGAATCCTGTGGTAAGGATAAAATAACAGGCAGCAGTGTTCATAGAATGACTCTTGACACCAGATATGGCGATCTACTTTAGGAAAAAAGGGGACAAAATTAGGTGATCTTGTCTATGCAAGACAGAAAAAATGAAGTGATGGTAGAGGGGTGGTTATCTGCCAGCTAGGAGGACTGATGACTTGCATCACATACAGACTCATTAATGTTATCCATGCCACTGACATGTAAAATGAGCTGTGCCACTAACAGAAACAAACTGACCTAATAGCCCTGGTTCAGGACTTCCCAGCTGCATTATTGGTAGGCCCTAGTAACCTAGCCTGTCCCGAAGATCCAGGATGAGGACAGGAAGAGAAACTTTTGGCAAGTGCACTAAATTGGTGATTAGGTTTATAGAAGTCATCCCGTTAGTGCTCAAAAAGATTTAGTTTTGGCATCTGCATCAAGATTAGGAGACTTGAGAACTTAGCATTTGTTATTATTTCCTGTGATTAAATCCTGTTGAAATTACAAACCTAGACACAGCATTTATACAACTATATTTTGTAATTAAAAACATCTTAAATATTGGAACTTGGGCATTTTAAAAAGTGATAGTAAATAACTCCTTCATTCATGAGCTCTATAAAATCACTGCAAGCCAACATCTTGTGTAAGGATTGGAGAAATTAACTTGCTAGTTCCAGCTAATTAATCTGGGTTTGAGGGGTTTTTTTGTGTGCTTGCTAGTTTTAAAGGAATGATCTAGGCAAAGCTACTCAGACTTGCTGTTGCAACTCTGACAGAGCGCTGACACTGAATCTAATATTGCTTAATATGACAGCAACAATAGCTCCTGCTCTTTCCCATTTGGTAATTATCAGATGTTAGTAATTTTTAAAATGAAAGTAACAGGTATTTACTGTAATCAAGCAGAATCCATTTAGGCTCTTTTTTTGCTGAAGATGCCATTAACAAAAACATTTTCAGAGAATCTTTGTCATTCTTGAGCCTTTAACATATAAAACAAAAGATGGGTAGGTGGATGTATTTTTATCTCCAGCTTTTCCCTCATCCCCAACAGAAGAAAATCTATGCATAGCCTGTATGCATTTAACATATTTTTTCTCAATAAGATTTGCTTAATTTTGCGTAATAATTACATGAATAAAGAGTTTCTTCCACAATGCTCAATATTAAGAATGTACTGTTATCTACATTTGTTGCCTTAGTAAAGGAGTAGGTTAATCCAAGCAGAAGTAAAGCATTGCTGTCGAGCATCAGAGCATGTAGGCAGGAAAACTGGCACAAACACCAAAATTACAGTTTGTGTGTGTCCCATCTGGAAAAAAAAAGTTCTTTGCTGCTGGGGGGCATAAGATGGAATGATTTGCATGACTAATGGAAGCACTTGTACAGAAACTCTCCTTGTAGTAGGTATACTTTTGATTTCTTTAGCTGCACATTTCTTTAGTATTAGTCTTTTTCCTTGACATATCTAAGGTAATTTTAGACAATATTTGACTGGCTACTTTCACTTTCCAGGAGGTGATTTGTATAACTAACATAACATTGGAATTTGCTCAAGCTTTTTACAGAATATCCAGAGACTGTGGACTTTCATAGTCTGAATTGGTTGAATTGCCTCAAGAGCCTGACTTTGCTGTCAGATGCTGGATTACCAGCATTTCTTTTTTAGCTGGATTTCCTGTACTAGCACAGTTTAAGTATTCCATCTTACCAGTTTCTGAATGAACTGACCTCTTTTAACGGAATTTTATAGAGGGGGAGAAGACAGAGCTTGCTGTTCATCAAACTATGTGCAAGTTAGCCCCACATAAGATACCAAAGAAAGTCTAGAGGAGACTGGCCTAATAAAGTCCCAGCAACAATTTCAGGTAGTGTGAACACTTTTTTCAGGAATCTCTGCCAACTCGAAATATGGATATGACGTGGATTGGAAAAGGTTTTTCCTGAAAATTAATTTTGGATGGGATTTTGACTACAAATCAGGCAAACTAATCCATTGCTGAAATATAAAAACTATGGGCATTACAACACTGATTTCAGTGTCCATGATTATCTGTAGGAGTTTGCCAGTAACTTCAGCAAGGACGTGATCAAAGTAGGAATGTCAGTATTAATGATGCAAGACTTGGCCATCCTAAACAAGTGTATGAGCATTGTTAAAAACCTCTCACCATTTACAGAAAAACTTAGGTTTGCCACACAACTGGAAGATAATCTGAGGAAATGTGCTTGTGTAATAGTGGCCTTTAAAAATGAGAACTGTATTTAATTCTTTGACTTTTAGTGTTATTTGAGAGCAGTATAACATGTGGGAAGTGGATTATTACAGGTACCTTTGTAAGAATGTAAAAAAATTCTGATCAGCACAGTAAACTAACATAATTTATCTTGACTTGGTCTCATTTCAGATGAAGTGGCTAAATGTCCTGCCCAAACAGTGCATTTTGCTGATGACATGTCTTCTAATGGCCTTGGAAGCTGTACCCATAGACATAGATAAGACAAAAGTTAAAGGACAAGGCCACGTAGAAGGAGAGAAAGTAGAAAATCCAGTAAGTATAATGAAATGTACCTAATTAAGCATTTTTTCCTAATTGTTAGTCATCTGGCTATAGCAAACCCCCTTCCTGAAATGTTGATGTTCTTTACTGGAATTTCTTGCAGGAAGGAAACTAGTATTAGGCAGTATTGTCATACATTCTACCATCTACTATTGTGACATTCCCTTTCAATTTGTTCTCTTTTTTTTGTCATGAGCTGCAAAAGGTAGGGTGGTACATGGAAGGAATTCCCCAGTTTACAGCAGGAAGAACTGCTTACTGTTCCACAGAGACTTATTTCAAGCAACCAAGGGATGACTTAGGAAATTTCACTCAGTTATTCCAGTTTAATGTTTCAAATAGAACAGTAATGAATGAATTGCACTGTTTAAAAAAAACAAAACAGGCTATATTAACAAGACAGATGCTTGTGTATGACATGGATTCCTAAACAGTTTTCTCCTCTTCCTTATTAGTTGCTAAAACAAATGAAACATAAGTTCTAACAGGGCAACGATGCAAATCTGAAAAAAACAAAAGATACATAAGAGAGTATAATGCCTGTGTTGCTGAGATTTGAAGTTCAGTTTAATCACTGTATTTAAACGAAATTAAATGTTTGGTAGTATATTATTTTCTCAATTTCATGTTTTTTTTTGAAGGATACAGGACTTTATTATGATGAATATCTCAGGCAAGTAATAGATGTCTTGGAAACAGATAAACATTTCAGGGAGAAACTCCAGACTGCTGACATAGAGGAAATAAAGGTAGGTACAAAAAAAAGAGTTAAATTAAGGTTAATTAAATCCATAATCCTGAGCTATGTATATTTTATTCTTTCTTCTTTTTCTTTCTTCATACTCCTCTCAATTTGTTTGAGCTTAGATTTCCTCTCATTTTATTTACTTAGGTGGTTAACTCTTACCAGACCTTTGTCTTTAGTCAAGGGACAGCACAACTTCTGTTCATTAAAGAGTATCCCATAGCATAAAACCCCCCCACAACAATATATACTTGAATGCATAGCTTTTGCCTTCTGCCTGTCTACTAAAAAGCCAGCTTCAGACCCCATGAAGCTTGTTGTACACCAAAAAGCTACAACCCAGCTTTCACTCACTATTGCTTGCTGAGTAATTTGGAACACTGTTTTGAACGTAAAGGTTTATCTTTCTTCTGAGATTAAGATTGTGAGTCACAAATTAATATGATGACATGGAAGAGAATTGCAAAAAAATCAGGTTTTAAAGTCTGGGAAAACTGAGGAGTTGTACTAGAGGTAAAGTCAGTGTACATAGGAATAAAATAGACCTGTAGCTTTCTCCACGCTCTCCTTTCTTTTGTGCCAGTCTATATAGCATTCTCTTCAAAACCTCACCACATTCTTGTCTTTTCTACTTTAGTTTCTGGCTTTAGGTGGTGGCTGTTTTGTATTCCCCTTTATGAGCTAGAAATTCAGCAAGGGACAGGTAGGAAACAGACTGAAGTGATAGTCATTCTGCCTTTTGCATTTCCTTTTAATCCCTCGTGTTGCCTTTGGCAGCTTTTGACTCCTTTTCTGTGCAACGCTTGAAGGTTACTACGCATTTCTGGATCCTAATAAATGTTCTTGAAATACACATTGGTGCCTGTTGCTGTGCTTCTCTCAAGTTATAGCTCTCATCAAGTGGATGCAGAAAACAGCACTTCGTTTGCATCTCACAGTTCTTTTGAACTAATTTGAGAACATTTGATCAAGAAATTTATCACTCCTCAAACATTATTAGGTATTGCTGCTTCAAGGTCATGCTTTTGCTGTTTGGAGAAGCAAGAGACTTAGAAATCATCCTTTCAGAAAACTTTTTGGATTCCTCTCTGTTTCTGTAGCCATAAACTTAAAAAAAATTCTTTGAATCTTTGAATCTGCTCTTTGGAAAAAGTTTGAGATTCTTACAGTGTGGGCTACAGTATTGCCAGAGGCTGCCACTAGTCTGCTATCTTGCAGCTCATGTCTAATGAGAATTCTAATGGCTACTTTCTTCTAGGTTTTGTGCATAACTTTTGTTTTTTGACAGAGTGGAAAACTAAGCAGAGAGCTTGATTTAGTAAGCCACCATGTGAGAACACGGCTGGATGAACTAAAAAGACAAGAGGTGGCAAGGTTAAGAATGTTAATTAAAGCTAAAATGGATTCTGTTCAAGGTAAGAATGCAAAATATAACTAGCTGAGTTAACAGATGCAATTGTGTTGGAGAAATGTCCAAAGTACATCAGTTATGCTTTGTTGTCATTGATAATGACTATAGGTTGACTATAGCCCCTTTCTGGGCTTGACTAGGGCTGGTAAACACCTAGATTTATAGGAAACTGGGGAGAAGGGAAAGCCATCTGTATTTTATATGTAACTAAACTTGATTCTGTCAGTGGACTTTCATATGATTCTAATCATCTTTCAGGCTCCATTTTGTACTGTATCAATTTATACTCACTGAAAACTAGTAACAGTAGTACTATGCTTAAAAGCAGAACATGACATAGCTTTTTCCTGGCTTTACAGGGTAGAAAACTTCTTTTTTTTGCAGTCAAGTAAGACAAAAGTTTTCCTTTTTCTAAGCCTTCTTTCTATCAATGATAGTACAGATTTATAATAAACATTCAGCATTTCAGTTTACAAGATATTTATTATTTTGGGGGAAATTTGAAGCTCCTGAATAAAGAAAAACAGTTGGACTGAAAAAAATTCTACGTAGCATTTTTAAAGTTGCAAATGAAATTGTACAAACTCAGGCAATTTCTTTTAATGGAGTATACAGGTTTCTAATTATTCTGATTGTTGTGTGTATGTGTGGGAAATGGTGCTATCCATTTTTATTTCTTACTACTGACATTTTTAAAAATTTACATTTAGAAGTAATTCTGTAAATTTCTTATTAGAGGTTTATTTTTGAAGATAATTAGTTGTTCTTAAACAAAGATCCTAATGATGGACTGCATCATCTTGTTTCTGAAATTCTTATTTGCACAAATAAGGTCTGACAAAAAGGGCTTAATTTGCTTATGAAGATTATTATTATACCTTTGTTAAGTTATGGGGAAGGATCATACTGGATAAGTGATGTGTCAATTTAAAATACTCCAAGAATAAGTATCTGTCTCCTAGGCTAAGCTGAATTTAGAGGTGGCAAGTAGACTGAAGAAGTATGCGTGTGCAAGTACATGTTTATGGGGATGTTATTAGAGTCAGAAAAGCATACGATTACTTTGGGAAAAACAGAGATTTATAGTGTAGTGCTTTTCCAATGAAGTCTTTAGGTGCTAATTTAGAGTTGGCTGAGGGCATAAGATCACCCTCTGTCCTTTGCTTTCTTTAATAAAAGTTCTAGTCCAGAGAGTACAGCTGTCTGGTAAGTAGAAAGTGCAGGCTCGTGGTAGCCCCTCCAGAGAAGTCAGGGTATTGCCTCACATACCTGCCAGACCTTTCTCAGGTATCTGTCTCTTCAGCTGGCAAGAGTTTTGTCTCATGCTCCTCTTATTCCTGCGTATTATTCAGTCCTGATCCCAGTGTTCTTTTAAATGTTTGCACCAAGGTCTGACTAGACTGATTGGTACAGGACATAAGAATGTTAGAGGTTGGGTTTCGGATAATATAGTCATGTGTCAAGTAAATATTGTTATAGATGGCTTTTTTTCCTTCAAATGTAAGCAATGGAGGAAAACGGGTATGGAGGGTGTTTTTTTAGGTTTTGAGGGTTTTTTGTTGTTTTACAGCCTAGTATTACACTTGCAAAAAATGCTTCAAAAACAGGCTAAAGTGCATATATTTCAACAGAACTTATGATCTCACCAATGAAGAATGATGGTTGAAATCTGCCCCAGCCAGTGTTTGCTATTTTGTTATAATAGAAACACAGCATTGTTTGTAAGATAGTTTACCAAATAACAACATGTTCAGAATTCTGTTTTCCACTTTTTTAAACAAATAAAACCCTCTTTGCTAAGCCATCTAGTAAAAGTTGGTCAGAATTGTTATAAACATCAAAGTGTATGCTGCTTAAGAGAGCATTATTATCTAGCGTTAGCAGTCAAAAACCATGGTAACAGCTAGGAAAGCCTGTTGTAGAAAAGTGTTTTGTTGTTAGTGCATTGTGTATTGAAACTGGTGGGTTCAGTTCCTGTCAGAAGGAGGAGAGAAATATTTGAAGCTTTTAGACATAGAACCTGGCTCTCCACTGCCATGTACATCTCATTTTGCACAAACGAAATTTGAGTATCTGCTTATCTGATTTGATATAATTTCATACCATATTGTACATACATGGCCAGATGGAAGTTATTTGCAAAATGTTAAGGGCAGTAGAAGAGTCAGACTTCTCCCAGTTCTGGAAAAAGATGCAAGTTTTTAGATTTGGTACTGGACGTGACTTCAGATACCTCATTTATACAAAGGAGAATAAAACGTTTTTCTTTGTGGAGCTTAAATTGATTGTACATTTCCTTGCTTAGACCACAAGCCTTAATTTGTGCATGTTAAATGATGGTGTACAATGCAACACTGACACCTCAGAAGGAATATAGTGCAGATTGCTGTCCAATTTGACGATCTCCTTCAGAAAAAGCAACTATAGAAGTGTTGCTAAAATTTCCTCAAACAATGAAAAAAATTATCTAGTGTTCTGGCAGGCTCAGGTACCGAAACATCACAAACTCCTATATGGAAGTTTTTAACTTCCTGATCTCATTTGATGTCAAAATTATTTTAATATTTTACATTTGTATCTTGTTCTTTCAGACACTGGTATAGACCATCAGTCTCTCCTTAAGCAGTTTGAACACCTGAACCATCAAAATCCTGATACGTTTGAGCCTAAAGACTTAGATATGTTGATCAAAGCAGTAAGTGCTAAATACTGTGGGTTTTTTGGTATTAGTTATTATGGGTTTTTTCTCAGTTAAAGGCAAATCCTTTTATATATATCATTTTTTTTGTAAATGACATGCAGTTTCCATTTTCAGGAGAAAACTAAGTTGTCTCCATGGCACACTTGAAAGCTGTTGGCAGTGTGCATTATACTAAAGAGCACATCAGTTTTGGGGTAACATCTTAACAGGATTTTTATTTGTGTACCAGCACAAAGAACTTTGGGAATAAAATACACCTTTCTGGGAGCATTTAAATAAAATACAGTATCGATAGAGGTACATTTTTCCCAGTTGCATTTTTTGATTGCTATTTCTAAATTAGTTAGGTGTCTCACAGAATGTCATAAATAATCATACCAAAATGAGCTATCTGAATTTTGGGGTCTACTTAAATATACATCAAGCTGTAAAACCACAGCATTTAAGATACCAGTATTTGAAACTGCATATGCTGGGCATGGCTATATTCAACTGCTGGAAAACACTTCTCTTTAGTCTCAGATATGCTTCAGAGAGCACTGCATGTCTGGCATGAGAATTTGACAGTTTTTATAGTTACAAAAGAAGTTGAAAGACAACGTGGATTTTAAGCTTTCTGTAATTTTTGTGGATTTTTTTTTCTTTTAGTCTAGGAAAATTTTATCTCAATTTTCTGGAAAATTATTTTTATATAGGTGTTACAAAATTTCTTGCCTTTTCTGAGCATCACTTCTGGGAAAATTCTGGTTGGCTAGGAAAAGCATATCCTCAGCAGGGCAGTTCTTTCTCTTATAGTGTTATTTTTCTTGTAATTTCTCAGCTGAGATATGGAGAGTATAATGGGCATTTTAGGGGGTCTTTGCTTTGGACTTGTTTTTGAAAAGGTACAATGAATCTGAAATTGAAAATGTAAGTAATGGAGTGACTGTATCAAGTATGAACATGTTGCTTTGGAAAGCACTACCAAAACATCCTTTGATACCTTGAGCTGTCAGAGATACATCTCTCAACTCTGTACAAATACTTGTCAGAAATCCTACCCTCACACCATTTTCCTCTGTATAATTGCTTTTTTTTTAAATGTAATGCATATGAAGATACTACAAACTAAATCCAGTTGTTAATGAAGGCACTTTTTTTCATTAAACTGTAGGATAAGCTACATATGTCTTTATTCTGACATAGACAAGGCATTAAAGGTACTATTTGAAACAGTGCTTTAGTTACTAGAGACAAAATTAACTTGAATTAATTGGTTATTAACTGATGTAAAGGGACACTTGATGCCTTCTTACAGTAATGTGCAGTTGTGAAAATTGTCTAGCAGTTGAACACTTGCAAATTCTGTGAAAATAACAAAGTGAGGAGAGATGGTTTTGCATCAGTGTCATGTGAAAGGAAACCCCCATCTAGTCTGCCTCTTGTTGAAAAGGAGAATGGCAGCATGGCCAGCCTTGCCCACAGATCGGAACAATACAGTGTTTTTAATGCCTAGGTGTTACCATAATAATGTGGCATAATCATATGTCTACATATATTTTTAGGCTACAAGTGATCTGGAAAACTATGATAAGACCCGCCATGAGGAGTTTAAGAAATACGAGATGATGAAAGAGCATGAGAGGAGAGAGTATTTGAAAACACTGGATGAAGAAAAGAGACAGCGAGAAGAATCTAAATTTGAGGAGATGAAGAAAAAACATGGAGATCACCCTAAAGTTCACCATCCTGTAAGGCCACAGTCCGTTCTTATGTGATTCGGAGGAAGCTTTCCTTTCCAGAGAGAAAAAGTTAAAAAGAAAAGGGTATATATGGGTGGTTCTCAGCATTTGCATCTTCTCATTGGTTCGGGAGCAGACTGCAGGACACTGCTGAGAGCATTAGAAAAGTTCCTACATATACCTCATTTTTTGGTGCAGTTACACAATTTGCTGGCAGAATTATTATTTACAGAAAAGGTAAAACTGGTGGGTTGGAAGGCAGAATGGTATTCAGCACTGTAGGGATGCTTTCCTGGCCTGCAAGGAACTGTATCACAGCACCATTTACTCTAGATAAGAGAAACTGATTTAACTCCCCTCAGCTTTTTTTTCTAGATATGTCTGTGTGGCCATGACTGATTATTACAGGTGTTCTTTTTCACAGAATAAGCCTTTCCTTGACTCTCCCTCTCCCTGGGCCTTTCTGTCTAATGAAAGTATTAAATCTGACCAAAAGGGAATTAAAGAAAATTCCATTTATTCCATTTGCAATGTAACTAATGAGAAAAAGAAACCCTTTCAGAGAAACTGTGATGCAAAGGTAATGCAGAAAAATTACAGATATATAATAGTTTGAATAGTTTTTCTTTGTAACCAATTTATAGGGAAGCAAAGACCAACTGAAAGAGGTGTGGGAAGAAGCAGATGGACTTGATCCTAATGAATTTGACCCCAAAACATTTTTCAAATTACACGGTAAGAGGCTTAGTTTAATTTAATGAAAAATGAAGTGACTTTTTGTTATCTTCTGCTGTGGGAAAGCTTGTCGTATGCTAGGATGAAGTTTTATACCTCAAGCAATTTGGATGAATCTGAAGAGTAGAGAGGAGAAAATATTTATGTACTGTTTGTAAGTTGACTGCAAAGTTTTCAGTGGGGTTTAAAAATTGGAAACAGACTTTTGTTTGACTACTCATAAAATTGTTCAGCCAATAGCCAGTAGTGATTCCTCAGGGAAGTATGGGTATATGGGAGGCTGTCCATAACTATAACTTTGCTTATACACTATGTACTAGGAATAAATCTTCAGAGGGGTGTGTGGGAAAAACTACTTTCTCATCATCTCTGCAGATAAGTGCCAGACACCCCTTATCTTTGGAATGGTCATATTAAGTGCCAAGCCTCTTCAGAAGTTGCAGGTTCTTTTAATAAAGCAAAAACCAAAATGCAGTACATTAATTTGACTAATCCCAAAGATGATAATCTAACTAAAGTAAGTGCATTCCAGCTTGAGTCTGAATTTTTATCTTGGTTTATAAACTATATAAAAATATATTGTAGTTATTAAACCCTATTTCTTCTTTCTAGACAGAGAACTTCAAAGATAATTTTCTGAAAATTTTTGGTAGCTTTTTTATGCACATCTTAAAAAACCAGAAATAGCTGAAATAACCCTTTGCCTTAGAGCTTAGTATATTAAAAAAAAACTTAAAAGCAGTTGAACAAAAATATTGCATAATACAACTTATTTGAAGTAGACATTCTCTTTCAATTTCAGAGGTAGTATAACAAAATTCAGAGTAGAATGCAGGATAAAAGATGAATCATTATTTATCAAGTATTCTTCTCTTTATATGTGTCATGAAAAGTCATTTTACAGTGATCTCTTCTAAAAGCTGTATATTTATATAGATTTTTCACATAATTAGTTAGGATTTTTGGAGAGTGATACTGTTGGTTTACATAGTTTTTCTACAGATTTTTGTTACTCCTGAATATGTTTACAAATTTAGTTGTTAAATTGGGACAAGTTGTTCTCAGAAATATTTTTTGGCAATTGCACTCTGTGCAATCCTGCTGTGACCTATTTCAGTTTGCTAATCTAGGAAGCAGGGAGATTGCTCCAGACTTGTCCAACCAACCGGAAACAGCCACACAGTTCAGCCAATGCCTGATAAAAACCTAAACAGAAAAAACTGCCTATGTTACCAGCATCTTGGGAAATGAGGTTGTTAATCAGGGAGAACTATTACATGTAATACTTTCTGTACATACTGAACTTGTATTTTCAACATTTCTTTTTGTAGATGTCAATAATGATGGTTTCCTGGATGAGCAAGAACTAGAAGCTCTGTTTACTAAAGAGGTAAATAAAAAGTTCAGAAACTTAACTTGTTTCAGTAAAATGGTTACAGGGATGCCTGTATTTTTTCCAAGTATATTTGGGGGCTTTGGACTGCAAATCAGGGTACTCAAATTCTGTGCATCCTCAGTGTTTCTACAAAAGAGTAAAAACACAGCAGGGAAAAGAAAGTAGTTGAAGCATAGGATTCAGACACCAGAAATCTAGTGCTCATGTATTTCTCTGCCACAAGCTTTTTTGAGATTTTATAATTAATCTGCAGGATAGCAATACCTGTACAAATTGCATTGCAGAAAGCTGCATTCCTGCTCTGGCTAGATGCAGCCTGATAGAGGTACTGAAGCTGGGTAGCTGTGCTCATTCACTACTAATGCAAAGTCTTCAAATTTGTTGAGAGAAGAAGGGTAACACTCATGCAAATGGGCTCAAAGACAGCATGTTGTGGAAGTGGCAACAGAAGTTTCCCATATTTTTTATCTGGCTAGTTTGAAGCACATGTGTAGGCTTTTTGTTTCTTCAAGCCTTGGTTTGTTGTCCCTGAAAAGGCAAATATTCATACTTCTGTGTCACCAGAGTGGTAATGATAGCAATGTCCTAAACTTCTACAGTGAAGGAAACTGCAGAATCAATCAGTAAGCAAAGGGCCTTGGTCTTCATTTCCCCAGTAGATTTTAGTTCTGTGTAGCAGAAAATAATCCCTAAATTTCCCATTCAGAGATCCAGTACTATGGCTGTCAATACATAGTCTTACAATTTTTCTAGATCTCATAAGTCAGGGAAATGTGCTATGCAGTGTATATAGAAGCTTTTAAATTGAAACGACTGTAAATATCTGAATAAATTAAATTTGCAAATAAAGATTTTTAACAGTATTTTGCCATAATCCCCCCTGAAACAATGAAGATAGCCTGTGGCCTTATAATGACCTATGGCTAAGCAAGCAAACCTATATTACAAAAGAAGCTAAGTAGAAGCAAATAAGCATGAACTCAACAGAAAGACGTTGTGCAAGAAGAGAAGTGGACCATTAAATTAGGCGCTCAGTTAGTCTCGTGATATCCTGAATACATACAGGGTCAGCTGTGTGCTCTGGTGAAAAAGCTACTCTCTCCTGTTCCATGAACCATGTGGAAACTCTGCCTGTTTTGAATCAGATGTAGTATCATACTGTGCACATCAAGGTCAATTTTACTGTAATGTACATAGCACTGAATTACAACATACTACATGAATTAACTGAAAACTTCATTCTTAGCAATGAAAGGCTCACTTGTTGCTTAACAAGTAATATGCTAAAAGAGTATCACACACACACACTCTCTCATGCTTGAAAAAATTGTGAACTCATGTTTTTAACAATGTCTCACACTACTGTTCCAAATATGCTTTGTTATTGGAGTGAGCAGCCCTTTCTCCAAACTTAACATTTGCTACTTTTAAATTTCAGCTCGAAAAAGTTTATGATCCCAAAAATGAAGAGGATGACATGGTTGAAATGGAAGAGGAAAGGCTAAGAATGAGAGAACATGTAATGAATGAGGTGAGGACTGAGCTACCAGTTGCCTTCTGTGTGAAAGAAATAAGAGTCCTTCTACCATGCAGAGTTGTTCAAGTACAGCAGAAAGGGATGAGCTATCACACTGAATGCTGTTTGTGCTGGGATTCACCTAAAGTTACAATTCTCGAGCCCTGTCCCCATATCCTAACATAAATGCTGAGATTCAGTAGATATGCCCTGCGAGTGTGTCAAACAGGGAACACTCTAAATATGTTTTTGCTCTTGGCAAATGGGTAAGATTTAGGTATGAGGGAGTTGAGCAAAGTCTTATTTCACATAGCTCACTTTGTCCCTTCAGAAGGGGGCTCAGTTCAAGGTATCATCCATGACAGTGAATACTTCTACTGGTTCTGACAGGAAAGGGAAGAGGATCTTTTGAACCACTGTGTTTTTCGCTTGCATCTTTTCTGTATTCAACTATATTTCTTAAACCTTCTCCAGGAGCAAGCCTAGTCTTCCATTCCCATAAAGATAAGCATTTCCTCCTATCATCTTAAAGGCTTCTGATACAATTCAGTTTGGGTTCTTTGGGTTTTTTTTAATGTTTTAAAACCTCCCTATCCAACAGAGAAGATTACTCTGTCTCACAGTGTCATTACAAAATTATTACCAGAAAGCTACAAAACATTTTGCTCCAAAAAAAATCATGCACACTAATAGTGTGCCGGCTGTGACCACAAATAATGTTTCCAATAAAGCCAATGAATTTTGAACTCACATGTGAGGATTTACTTTTTATTTCCATTTTTTTAAAGCTATATGAGCTTGTGAGAGCATTTTTCAGATGACGCAGCTGCTCACTTGAAAATGAGACAGTTAAGAAAGAAAATTGTTGTATTTTAAGATGCTTGCATAATAAAATGAAACACTAGCTCCATCAAAACCTGTCCTTTAGGTTTAGTTTAATTTTTTGCTTCAAATAGGTTGACATCAACAAGGACCGGCTTGTGACATTGGAAGAGTTCCTGCGAGCTACAGAGAAAAAAGAATTTTTGGAGCCAGACAGCTGGGAGGTAATGTGTTCAGAGTGCAACACAGGGGCTACTATTATATCCCTATAACCAGGAACCAAATGGCGTATATCTGAGCTTTGCTTTTTTTCAATTTTGTCTTGGTGTATGTGTGGCTAAATGCCTTAGCTAAACGGGATCTTCATGGTCCAGACACAAATAGACAAGGTCTTGCGCCACCCTGTGGATTCTAGAAGAGCTTTTCCCACATGCTTTTCAAACAGAAAATTGACACTTTGTTTATGAATCAGTTTAAAGGGAAGGTAAGAGCTCAGCTGGAAGCAAGAGGAATTTTTTTCTTCTACCTCTAAATATGTAGTAGAATTTTGCTGAGAAAATAGCTGAGAAACAGTTCTTTGGTGGTGTCTTACCTTGAGTGTACTAACCTTTACAGTTAATGTCCAAGTATTTTGATGAAAACTCTGAGGGTTGTTTAGTGAACTGTACAGTTCTGCTAATAATAGTTTCATCAGGATGATGATAAATATATATGCATAAGTATTCGATTTTATATTTATTTTCTTGCAGACACTAGATCAACAGCAGCTCTTCACTGAAGATGAGCTGAAAGAATTTGAAAGTCATATTTCGCAGCAGGAAGATGAACTTAGAAAGAAGGCAGAAGATCTTCAGAAGCAAAAGGAAGAGCTACAAAGGCAGCACGATCAGCTTCAGGCTCAGAAACAAGAGCTTCAGCAGGTACACATAAAAAAAATAATTCAGGATGATAACAATGCAACCATCTCAACTCAGTAGTATTCCCGTTAACAAAGACTTTTCATAATGGCTGCAAAATTTGCTTTAAGTGTTTTCCTTTATGTCACATCAGAGAAAGTTGACAGAATTGCATTTTTCAACTGTAGTATTTTATTTTTCACTAGGTTGTAAAACAAATGGAACAAAAGAAACTACAGCAAGGAAATCCTCCTGCAGGACCAGGTGGAGAACTGAAATTCCAGCCCCGTATGTATCTTTTTGTGTAGATACACAAATGTTAAAATAAGATCTCCGATATAAAAGACATTAAAATTGTATTTTCTGATGCTGTTAATATAGTGTGGGTTTAGTGATCTCTGTAGAGAGGCAGAAGGATTTAGTTGTGCCTGTCTGTCTAAAAATACTGAGATCTAGGACATGAAGGATTTCTGAGCATCTGGAAAAGAACTGAGACATACAAATGCCCAGGTCTGTCTGTTGTGTGGCTGTGTTGCCGGTCTCAGACTGCAGAACAAAGCAAAGTATTCAAATGCTTTCAGCAAGTTTATCCTTTGTGGCCAGTTTACCAGCAGTTTGGCATAACATGACACAAGTTAGTTTCAGACAGTATGAATGACTAGTTGCTTCAGCATTCTCAGAAGAAATCATGTCATAATAAATCATTGCATTTGCTCATTGGTGGCAAGAAAATGGTCAGGTATATATTAGTACTTCTTATCCATAACACATTGTCCATGTTTCTTCTGTGCTTCGCAGTGGGTCTGCTCTCCTATACATCCTAACTTACCTTTTTCTTCTGCTCTAGAAAGGTTGAAACTAAGATGGCTTTGTTGGCTTCCATGTGCTAACATTGTCATAACATAGGTGATAACGTTGCCAGTAGAACTCAAGAACTTCTTGACATTCATCTCAAACATAAGACTTTGTACTGCATCCAGGCAGCCTTCTGAATGCTGGAAGCTTTTAACTGCTCCTGCAGAGCCAACAATGGGATTTCAAACCTTAAATGCTATATTCAGTGATTACAGCCCTCTTTGTTGAGTACTCTGAAATTCTATCCCTAAACCACTCAGCTTTGTGGAGAGGAATAATTAAATTTCAGTACCAATTCAATTTTGTCTTTCATTTTCTTCAAAACTGTCTGTGGGTAATTTCATTTTATGATACTTAGTTCTGAGAACTTCACATTCAGTATAACCATCATGTGTAATAGCAGGTGCCCTGGAAGTTGGACATGTTTTGATACTGACAATATTGTGGCACATACTGTATTTAACATGCATATTATTCAATGTAAAAAACTTTCTGCAAAGTCATTTAATCAGGTGTCATCAGAATTCATTATATTAGCTGGGACTAGTCACTACTCAGTCACTGAGTTAAGGAGATCCAAATATATTTCTTATTAGTAGGCTACTGGAGGTACTAAAGGTAACTTAAGGGGAAAAAAAATCACAAAAATGCACCTATAAGTTCTAAAGCCTTCAGCAAACTATGAAAATTATTATTATTCAAAGAGAGGCAAAGGGAGAATGTTGTAAGTATTGCTGACACAGTAAGGCATAAAATACAGGAGTGAGTTGATCTTTTTTATTTTTTTCCCAAGATTCCCATGTTGGGATTAAAGATTGTGTAAACATGTGATATGTTTCAAAAATAACACATTGGGCTTTTGGAGATTGTTATGTAAGTAAAGACATTTCACAGAAAACAGAAACAAGTAATCCAAGTGGAAAATCTGAGTATTAAAATAATGCAGTCTATTGGGTAATCTCAATCCAAGATCATTGTTAGTCACATACAAAGTTCTAGATTCCACTTATAACCCAAGAACTGGAAGGTTTCGTTTGATTATCCCTATGCTAGAAACTTTCCTTGAGACACTTTTCACAAATAGTTTTATTCTTGTTTTACAGCTGGGGAACACAAAGTTGGAGATGCACCAAAACATCCTGCAGGAGGTGATCAGCCTTTACCACCAGGACATGTCCAGGAACCAGCTGCTAGAACTGATCAAGTTCACCCTTAACCACTTGTGCCTCAACTTTATAGCATCTTCTTTTTTTTTTTTTTTTTTTTTTTCTTTTTGTCTCCTTTTTTTGGGAGGGTAGGGGAGGGCAGGAAATCAGAATGAAACAGGAACTCTCCAAGTTCTTCCCTAGACAATAAAATAATTGGGAATGTTAAAGACTAAGTAGCAATTGGATTTGAATCATAAACTAATTTCTCCAGTGCATCAGTGAGAAACACAACAAGAGGATCATTTAGAGGCTATAACGGAGGAGAGAATTAAGGAAACTATTCATAATAAAGGTTTTTTATGGCCAGGGGACTGAGTTGTTGAACTCTACCCTGACCAAAAGGGAGGAGATGTCTGCCATTCTGTGTTTTGGCACAAGTGGGGATCTTCTTATAGAGGAAGCAAGGAACTGGCCTGAATGTCAGTTAGGTCTAGTTTTATGTAGAAACTCTTTCCAGAAATGCTGAGAAGCAAAATATGGGGAAATGAAGACCACAGATAAAGGCCTACCATTTCCAGCACTACCAAACCCTTTTGTCTTTGAGACCAAATAAAAGTCAAACTTCTAATCCTTAATCACAGAAAAATTGCACTTTCTAAAATCTAAATACAGCAAAGAATTATGTGGAACAGTGAATATTTTTCATGTTTACAGAAGCCTAAGAATTTCACTGTAAGCCTTCAGAAGGAATACACTTGGGGTGTACTGATCAGAACCGTCCTCTTTGTCGAGATTAATTCTGTGTAGCAGTTGAATACTCAACTGGCTCTTGGGACAGTACTTTTGTCCCTGTTTCTCTCATCAGGTGCCAGCTGATCTCAAAATTCTGCATGTTATAAAGTAAGCTTTTCTTATTGATGGAAATATTGTGCAAAACAGAATAAGGCTCAATGTCTTTTTCTGTACAGATTATCCTACCTCCTGTGATAATACTGGGTTTGTCAAAATGCACCATGTGCTTCAGAAAGCTCTTAAACATGAATCTTTGACTTGTTAAAGTCTCACTATTAACTCTTACTAGTCTTTCAGCAGTTGTAGTAAGTTTATGAAGAGTCCTAAAACAGGGGTGCTACTTGATTGTGTTATTTTGATACCGAACCAGGATTGTAAGCCAAGACTTTTCAACAAGAAGTTGATTTTCCTGTGGGTTTTACTATAATGTTGAGAAGTTGAGTGATTGTTCTTCTTGTCATTAATTTCAGACTGAAAGCATCCTAAAGTGTAAGCCCAGTTTGGGTTTTTTTTTTTGCTAGGGGTTTTGTGGGTTTTTTAAAACATGGATTGTTTGGATTGTATAATGCTGGCTTTGAACTGATACACACCTTGGCAAGCACCCTTTGCATTTCCTTCCTGTTTTGCAGCTAACTGCTGACAGTGACATTTAAGGAGATCATTTGGGTTTTAAGCAAAGAAACAGAACAAGGCTCTGTAATGGAAAGATGTTTCTTTCAGAACAAAACTTGAATATTTTAGGCAAACTCAAAAAAGGCAAGAGGCAATTACTAACACTTCGTATTTACATTTGAGAATTTTCACACTGAAGAACTTTGATTGACAGAAGCTAGGCATATTCCTTCCATGTTTAAGGCTTCTTTCACCAGGCCCAAACATTCTTGTTCTCCACATGACACAACATTGCTGGAACAGACTAGGTTTCCTTATCTCTTTCATCGTGTTAGTTGTCATGTTGTATTTCCTTCATTTATACCACTGAAACATTTGGACTTCTTATACTTTTTTTTGTTGTTGTTCTCCATGCAAGTTGCTAACAGTTTAGTTTTCAAAACCAATGTGTCCACTGTTTGTCATTTGCATGCAGTTTTAACATCAGTTTGATTATGTCTTTGTCAGGAGCCTAAAATACCTTTCAACAACTCCATCTGTTCACTAAAGCGGCCCAGACAGAGTTACAGCTACATCCAGACTAACAAGAGTTTCTCCATGCACAGCCCTGGCTTTGGGGCTCTAGCCTGATAATGGGTAACAGAGTGAGGAGGGAAACAAAGGGGGAATTAGTCAAACATTGTGGAAAAGGTGTAAAGAAATGTTTGTGTTCTCCCATCACACATGAAAGTTTACAGAGGACAAATTGGTAGATGTTTGTAGAGAGTCAAGGACTGAAAAGTTTAATGTGAAGGCCTTTCTACAATACAAGTAATTCCTTCACACTGTATCTGCCTCCTTAGTGTCACTGTATGTAATTATGTGCTTTGTAATGTAATCAAGCTTTGGTTTCAGTGCATTTTGATTTTGATTCAGTGCATTTTGCATTTCTCTTGCATTTTGATTGTAAGATCCTGACTCTCCCTGCTGTCAGAGATGGGCATTATACCCCCTTATCCCATTTACTTTGAAACATCCAGAGTTTTGTAAAGAAATGTTATAACTTGGGTGCTGAACTAGCTCCTGCTCACCACAGAGTAGTGAGTTTTAGTGGAGACTCTGAGGCAGCTGCCTGTGAGAAGCCAGAGTTTTCACTTGTTTCATTGTGAGTTAACGTTAGCAAAAAGTCCTTGTTTTGTATTTCAGCTACCACTGAGATGCGTTCAGTGTAAAACAAGGCACATCTTTCCTTCAGTTGCTTTCTGGTACCTAAGTGTTGTTCTTGTAACTTCAATTAATTAGTAGGCTTGCAGATTAGCAATATACTACAGACTTTCTGCTCATTACTTGGAAGTGCAAACAGGCAGATTTTAAACTTCAGATTTGTTGATTGGATTTCTCTCAATAATAATCAAGTTTTAGTCAAATTGACAGTTATTTGCCCTAAACTATGTGGAAGTCAGAGCCTCAGTCCTCAATAATGCTCAAGTTATTGGACTCCTACTGAACATATCTTAAGTTTGTGGCCTAAATGTTTTTGAGAGGAGAGCTCAAATTACAACTTCATGCTCACGCATCTAATTCAAAATCTCACGTGCATGGGTATCTCTTTCACTTGTCCACAAAGGTAGCAAGGATTGAGTGGATGTTCTTTCAAAAGATGGTCTGTTAGGTGTGATATGCCAACAGACTTATGTTCACCCAATGTTGGCCTTCTTTTTCTCCTCTGCAGAGGAAGACTACCCCTCTTCAGGCCCAGGCTAAAAGAGGTCTCCATTTGAGTGTAATAAAGTTTCCAAACTATTTTTGTGGATCAGTTCAGAAATGTGGTTTAAATAACAGTTATCTCACTGTGAGGAACATCTGCAATGTGCTGAAGTCATGCTTAAACCTGAAATGTTTAGCAGATTTGTTGCTTTTCAATGTGTTTGTTGCTTTTGATGCTCATGTCTTCTTTTAATTGGGTTCTCTCTTCCATAAAAGAGACTAAAAGTATTAGCCACTAAAAGCATGTTTCTGCCATGGTACTATTTCTCAGGAGCTTTTTAAAGTTGAAAAAAAAAAAATCTATTAAACTAAGCTTACAGCTAAGTGCAGAAGTAGAAAACTACAATCACAGATAAAGAAGGGACTGGAATATCATGCGTGCTTTCACCTGTACTTGGCTTTTCATTTAGGAGGTGATGACAAGAAAACTGAGTGTAGCTTCATACAGATGCCAGTTCCAAGGCAAAGATGCAGAGATTTGGTTTTGTACTTGGCTGGGATTCTGGTAGGAGGATGAAAGGGTAAGATTTGGCCAATGTTGTACAAATTCATATTCTCCAGTGCAATATACATAGGGGAAAAAAAAGCAAACAACCCACTCCACTCTGTACTTTGTATAGATTAGTTTTTAACTGGATTAAACTGAAATTTGGTGCAGTGACAGGTGTCTAGTGTTTTATTTTAAGTGGGTGGGAAAGAGGTGGGTTTTTATCTTGTCTAGATGCCCTCTACTTCTTGCTTTCTGCAAAGATGTGAAAAGCAATTTATAAAAATATCTAAGTGTCTTGTGTCATTCCCTGGCACCAGCTTCCTCACCAGAATATGTTCACTAATTAGGCACATCAATGCTCTATTTTCTAAATAAATAAAAAACCAAAACTAACTAATTAAAATGCTGCTGCAACAGCATTACAAACTCTTGAAAACACCAAACACTTCCCTTGACTTCTTCAAATGCAAAACAAATCTTAGAGAAGGTGAAGCACCCACAGGGTTAGTTCCGCTTTGCTTATAGGTTTTGCCATCAAAGTGAGGTGGTGGCCACTTCAGGATGTTGGAGTGGCTGTGACAATGTGTCCCTTAGGGAGATCCATAGGATGTGATGCCCTATTCAGTCACATTAGACCTTAATTTTTAAATATATCTTACGAAAAACAATGAGTGTGTGGTGGTGTTCTGAAAAAAAGTGAAGCTATGGATCATCCTTTTGCAATTTAGGCAAAAGTAGTTAGCAGAAGCAGGGAGCTGCCTCTAAGGTTGGCCCCAGAAGTACTTTCTCATTTACATCCTCAAATACCTGTTAGTGAAATTAAGAGGTAGTTGTGCTGTGGTAGTGAAATGCGAGTCCTATCTGAAAACACAGCAACACTCACTAGGTACATTTCTAAAAACAAACTGGGATTTTTTCACATAATGGGAAATGGGGAACTAACTTGAGGCCTATTATTTACATACTCACAGACAGCAAATATCAAACCCATCTACAGTTTCCCTAATGTTTTCTAATGCCTTAAATATGTAAGTAATATCTATAATGCCTGATACTTGCCAGATTCACTTTGTATCGAATTGTAACACTTTTTATAATATACTATCCAGTACTCTGCTGAAACTGCATACTTGCTTATGTAGTAAAGTACAGTATCAGTGAGGGAAAGTAATTTGTTTCAGACATACCCAAGTTTCTAAACCTGGTATGTTTTTCAGTGACAAATGCAGGGACAGAGCAGCACTCCAAAGCTGACTTCTTTCTTTGTACCTTTTCCATCAATTCAAGCAGCTGTTTGACTGCTGTTCAGTCTCTGTGGCAAACAATCTGTATTTGCTCATAATGGCTCACATCTGGTATCTTCTGAGAAACCTCCCCTAGAGCCATCCCTGTGTTATAGAAGGTGATGGTGCATACAATACACATACGATATTCCCCTCTAATATTTCACACCATCTCTCACTAGCA